AGCAAAGATTTAGATCAGAGACAAAGATTAAAAATAGAAGTAGACTTTTACAGGTTTGATGGAGCGTGCGTTCCCACGGTAACATCAAACTGTGCCTGGCACTGGAACACACTCACATAATAATCCCCAATCATTACTTCTCTGGGCAGTTGTTGACCGCTCTCTATTTTTTTCCGCACACACAAAGGTGTCTCCCTTCAGTAACTTTTGAACACCGGCACACACCCTCATGTACCTGCCAAATGCACACACACACACACACAAAACTGCATCCATTCATACACACACATCCAGACACACACATGCAAGGTAACTCTCTCTTCCTCTCTCTCCTGCTCAGTAATAATTAATGGAGTCCATTTAAAGAGCCATCTGTTCCCTGTGCTAGCACTAAACGCCTGTTTAAAAATACTTTATTAACAACGTCGGCAGCTACAAATAGAAATGGCCATCTGTCAGCTAAGCCCTCAACAACCTGAACATTTTAAGTTTAGATGCCATTTTTAATAGTATCTGTAACTTTTAAGTTATTTTTTTCCAGAAAATATGCGCTCTGAACACCTAATAAAATCCAACAAAGTGAAACAGAAGTTGAAGAACACAGTTAAAAGTTTGCCAGAAGACCTTGTATACCTTTAAGATTAACACAATAATGCCTAAATGACTTTCGGGCACTGCTGCCTAGCAGAATTAGCCAGAACTGTCGTGTCAGTGTATCATAAGCTGTGTCTTCAAAATCCTCATTAGACTAAAGATTGAGTCACAGCTATAAGATTTCTGTGGCTTAAGCAAAGGAGCTGGATGCAGCTGAAAGTCATTTGCTTGGACAAAATCGCAACTGAGTGGAGGAGATGCTCAGTGAGGCTTAATCCTGACTAACCAAAGTAAAAGAATAAAAAACAGACTAGAAAAACAGGAGGGTCTGAAAGGCACCGACAGGCTTAAAATGCTGAACTAAATGTAAATTAGAAACTTTTGAGATAGTACTGAAAGCCATGTCTGTGCGCCCATTTTTTTCCCCTTATTCTTTCTCATTGTGAGAGAAGCAGGAGAAAAAAATTCTTCCAAGCTCTGAAGGAAGCAGCCAGTTCAGCTCACTCTGTGATTAATGTTGAACTTTTATTAATTTAAACAGTTTTTCTTGTGATTTTTTTTGTAAGAATCTCACACTATCGTACTTTTTTTTGTCTTTTTTCATTCGTTTTAATGTTGCATGCTTTTTCTCAGCTGCACTCAATTAATTTCAACACACAACTCATATTGGGTTACAGGACCCAGCTAAAAAATGTGGCATCCCCAGGCAGAAGCAAAAAAAAAAAAGAACAATCTAATATCTCCGCTCATCTGTCCAAAGGACATTGTTCCATAAGTCTTTTGGTTTGTTCAGATACTTTGCAAACCATGCTGCCTCATTTTAGAGAGATGTCCTCAAGTCTTTTCTATATGAGATAGTCTCCAAGTTTCACCCGTTTTTAAATTTTAAATGATTAATTAAAAAAAAACAGTTACTTGCAAATACTATGGAGCACTATACCCACCATCTGTAAGCTGTATATATTTACTGAGCTTCTTTAACAAGACCTTTGCAGATATTTGGTCTTCAGATGTGTGGTGTCATGTGTGAATGCAGGTATTTAATTGTGTCCCCACCTCACAGGAAAGTCCAGAGTATCCAATTGGACAATCACACTTCTCTATCTGGTGGGCTTTCTCGCTTTCTTTGGTTGGTCTGCCCTCCTCGGCCACTGTCAGACTGATCTCTGAAATACTGGGAGAAAAAAACAAAATCAAGAATCTTTGAATTTATTAGTTTAATGAACAAAACTCTAAAAAAGTAAAGTAAAAAAATAGATTTAAAAAAATTGCATTATTGCACTTGAAGACTTTTACAAAAGTAATGTTTATTTAGCTATTGTACCAATGTGCGGAGATGCAAGATTAAGTTGTTCTGTGTGTGTGTGTGTGTTACCGGCTTTGTCTCATCAAGTTGCCGTGTGATGCCTTAATTAGGATGTAGTCCACGTAGAACAAAATGTCCATAAAGTCCTCTCGAGTCATAGTCCGACCATCTGCAAATTTCCAATCATGCTGCACGCACGCACACACACACACACACACACACACACACGATGAACAATCAACACTATCACTGCACTCAGTTTAAGAAACCCTGTTTGCATGGAGTAAAATAAACAATTAATTTTAAATAAGTATTTACTTCTACTGCTGCTACTACTACTATGAATTTCCTTATCACCTCTAAACCATTACTGTACCTCTGTCATGTCAATCTCATGGCGGGTGAGCTGACCAATCTGGAGTCCTGTTATGTGGCGTGTCATCACCATGTTGTGGTTAGGACCACCTTTAATAATGACCTGAGGCTCATAGGAGGAAGGACCAGTTTCTTCTCTGGCCTCATAGTACACAGCATATTTCAGCTGCCCCCCATATGCTGTGATCTTAAGAGAAACAATGACACAAAACAATCACCAACATTGTACTTATTAGATTTTTGAGCATTATTTTTGAGATTCTCTATGAATATCTTGCCGTTTTGTCTTACATGCATGCAAAACAATGGATCTGTGCGCAATATACAAATGTGCATTATCCTAATGAACGGCAGGTGTGACATGAGTTTTGCAATTATATTTGGAAAGACATGCATTCATGATGTTTGTTAGCATCTATCACTATACACACTATCTTGTAAATACCACAGTAAAATCCAAGATGATACAAACAATAAATTTTTTTTTAAAAAACCCACTGTGATATTTCCTACCATAGAGCCTTTGAACTGCTCAGGCAGTTTCCAGTAGTAGGGTTCAGACAGAGTGGAGGTGATAAGTTCTGCATGAACGATGATCTCAGGATGTTGGAAGCTAACTCCTGTTCTCGTCTCCACGGCGTTGGATTTATCCACCAAGGGGAGCACCGTCTGCTCCGGCTTCAGTGTTAACTGGGATACACAACCATGACAATATTAATGCATTGGCCTGTGGAACCCAGCAGAATAACGCCAAAAGATATAGTTTAAGAGAATAATCCTGTTTTCTGTTCATACTGTTAGGGTACCTGATTGTACTGTTTATTAGAAAATTAAATAGCATAATACAAGTACTTAGAATATGTACAACAATTACTTTCAAAGGCATAAGCCTAAAGAATGTGAACATGTTAAAAACTTTCTAACGAGCAGTGAAGGAGTCTGTGTTCAGCAGCAATTTCATTACGTAGCCTCTAGTATACGAGTGAACAGAATGTGTAACAATAACTGGACAGAGTGGTGTTTCTTGTCTTGTTTATCCACATACTTTCTTCACCTCCTGACGATGCTGACTCAAGCAAAGCTCTTTCATCACCATCTTTTGATCTTTTTGCATTTCAATTGGCTTTTGTCTGAGATGCCCAGACAAAATTTCAGCTTCTCTTATTTTTTTTTCTATTTGCCCTCTTGTAATTTGGCCTCCAAAACGGTCCGAACGGAGGGACTTCCTGCACACACACTTGATTGAAACATGATGGGAGTTTTTTAGAGAATCCTTCAAATGAGATTGAATAGTTCTTGGCATACTTCTCGTCCTTTGAAGTAGGTGAAGACTTATCTGTGATATAACAATGACCTTTACTCCCGCTCTGAACCTAAATGCATTAAGAAGAATTTCTTTACCGTGTTCACACTATGTCTTGTACAAGGGAACACCTTCACTCTCAAAAATGTGTTTAAGCGACACATTAACAGATTATTCATTAAAAAAAACAATACAGAAGAAATCTCCTTTTTTCCTTTGGGTTATTAATGAGTGAAGGAAGTGTTTGTTTCTTTCTTCAGTAAATTGATAATTTTAAAATGTCTTCTCTTAGTGATCAAACTTTGTTCCTTTACATTCTAGATATAATTTAAATCTGATGTGCCAAGCTTTCTCTTTGATATAATATTTCAGTTATTACAAGCAGTCTGGAGAAAAACTACCCCTTTCATTTCCATTCTCTCCAGCTCTCATTTTATGTGTATATATTTCAATACTACTCGAATAATATCACAGTTTATTATTGACTGTGGATTGTGGTTCAGTGAAACACTTTAAAAAAAGATCCATCTGTGCAGAAGTGTTGATATGTGGATATTGCGTGAGTAATATTGAGGCATCATGGAAGGGTTTTTTTTGGTTTGGTGCACAGATTTTCTGGAATCTATTAAGTTACTAAAGCATGGATATACTAGGAATATTGCCTGTATAAGTGAGGTAGTCACACATGAAATGGGAAACTGCTCGCTTCTTACTTAACTGTTACTCATAAGTTATTATTACTTATTACTATGGCATACATTAATATAGAGTACTGGATTTCTAACTACAATCTAAATAGAAATCAAATTAATGGTAAAAAAATTTGTAAAAAAATAAGAGTTCCGTACTGTCATTGAACAATGTGTAAATACAGACCTCATCAGATATGAAACACATTAAACTGCTGCCTTCTGTTTAAGTAACAGCGTATCATTAAGAATGTTTTTCTTTTTAATGCTCTAATCTGAGTGTTTAGTGTGTCACGGCGAATGAGGCAGGCCAAACCATAATGCCAGCATGTCACAGGTAGCAGTCTGTCTATATTACAATATGTATAGTCATGCAAAAGTCTTGAGCCACCCCTCATTTCTTTAGATTTTGCTAGGAAAATGAGAAATTTATTGAAACACGTGCAAACATAAATTTAAATATTGTATTAAAGCACTATATAAACTGAGTTTGTGCAATTCTAGCTATGTTTGGTAAGTAGTCTTCAGGAATAGTTCGCCTTCTTGAAGGAAATTCAAAGCTCTTCTTGGAAGGTTGACTACCTTCAGCTCCAGTCTCAGTTAGGGGTTAGGGTTAGGCTCTAGGGAGGCTATCCATGACTGATTGTGTTCCATTATGTGTTTTTCTATCCAGGTAGGGTTTTGCTGTATTGGCAGAGTGTTTGGGATAACTGCCAATGGTACCACCAACTCTGACGGCACTTTTCTGCATTCATAATTCTATCAATTTTGACAAAAACCATTGACTCCATTGCCTGAAATGCAGGCCGAAGCATGACAGGGTATTACAGATTGCTGTAGACACTCACTGTTGTACTTCTCTTATGTCCTTCTGCATATATACAATGATTTGAACCAAAAATGTAAAATTTGGATTCATCACTTTATAAGACCTGCTGCCACCGATTTTCTGCCCAGTTCTTATATCTCAGCTTTCCTTCCTAAGAATAGCTTCTAGATCATCAGGTCCAGTGTCTCTGCTAAATTTCTTTCTATTTCCCAAGTTCATGACTTTAAGATGCTCTGCCTTTTTGGGTGCATTTCGTTCCCCTGCTGTAAATAAAACTCACTCACAGCTACTCAGTCGTCAGTGCCTGCACTTGGGTCCACACTCCTCACCACTTCACACATCTGCGTCAGCACCCGTGGCCGTTTTTTAGGTCTGCTTCTTCTTTTGTCCTCTTTCTTTCTCCAGTTTTGTCACATTTTTAAGGAGACTGCATACCATGTTGTGATATGCCAAGTTTTCATCTAACAGCTCTTTGGGAATCACCTTTGTTGGTGCAGAAATGTGTTTTTATGCCTGCCAAACTGTGCTATCTTAGGCATGTTTTAGCAAAAGGCTGCTAATAAAAAAATGATTATATGTTTTTTAAGATGTCTGTTACAGCTAGCCACAACAGTTGTTGATCCCTTGAGCATCAAGTGGCTTTACAGTCAAACAACGTTTCAAGGACTGGACTAAAAATGAGTGAAAAGGCATCTCATGTCTAAAGGAAAACTTTTGTAAAAAAGACCCGTGTTCAAGACCTCTTTAAAAATCACAAAGTTTGTATATAATATATATAATCAATGCATTATCTTTACGGTTTACCTACAGACTTAAAGCAAGCACTAGACCTTTGCTTTTGTTTTTTTCAGATATTTACTATGTTTTCTTTCTTCTATCTGGTGCTTTGATATTCCTAGTTTTCCCACAGATAAGGGAAATTCCACATAAAGGTAAAAGCTTTTACAGTTTTATGCTGGTGCAAATCTTCATTAAATATTCACCCATCTAACACTTCTAGTTTCCTCAAAAAAAGTTGTGTGCAGCAAGTTGTGTGTACGTAAAACCTCTATGTAATCCGATGTAGTGTGAGTTTTCAAGAGTGTGCATTGATTCATGTGTACTGTGTTTGCATAGTGTGTGTGTGCATAGTGTCCACTCATAGTGTGTGTGTATATATCCCACTTCACTCAGTGTAATCTCACGATTCAGTGGTTCAGAAAAAATCTCCCTCTTTCCAATAAACTCTCCATTTTTTTTCTCTCTTTCTGTCTGTCTACCCTCCCTGTCAACAATAAATGAAGTGAATGGTTGTTGTTCAAATGAGGCCTCTCGCCACCCTCCTAAAACTCTACGGGTTACCACGGAAACGGCAGTTTATTGCTGATTGCAACCATTTCTACAATAAAGGGGCCTTATTCAAAACACTCTTTCCTCAACAACTGATTGTAAACTTCCTGAGTGTCTTTCTAAATCTATCAGACCTCTGTTTTTGACTTCAAGTTGCTACATGTCATTTTCACGCCTATGTTTATGTTCTCTAAAACATGTACAATGGATGACTGAACAGCAGGAAAAGTTCCTTGATTATGTTGACAGTGTAGGAAATCTCATCTTTTCATTGTTAAAACAACTTCATACATTTTAGACACATTAACAGCTATGAATGCCAATGTTAGTCTTTAGGTAGCTTGCTAATTTAATAATTCAATACTTGCTACACAGGTTGCAATAACAACACAAAGTCTATCCAGAGAGGCAAATCTGTGAATACTAAGTGAATATCTGCTCTCAAAAGAGAAGGGACATTCCTTTGAGGATACAGGTGTTGACATTTTGGTCAAAGAAGACAGACGGTTAAGAGAGGAGCACAACAAGACATCTATGCTCACCTGGAACAACCATCACTGAACGCACACTCACATCTTGACCCATGTGATCCTAACTGCTCACATATCTCTGTATCAGCTGCCAGAACTGAAGACGTTTCAGGTGTGATGTGAAACATCTTCTAGAACCTCAAGAAGTCCAGATGGCTTCAACTCAAACATTTAAGTCTCCAGTGACTGAGAACCTACAGACACCTATTAACACATTTAATAGCCTGTGAACAGCCCTGTTTGTGGGCAGCACATTTGAGGGATTTGCAACTGCAGGACTTCTTGTTTCTGCAAACCAATGTGAGGCGAAACATTTGTAGTGAACACCACACGGCTTTTGTTGGTCCATGGCTTTTTTGTTTTGCCCCCATCAGGTTGTAATTGTCATCCCTTGTATTGATACCCACTTTTCGTAAGTGCATCAAACAATGCAGTATCCACAGTCTCCAAAAAGACACAGCTATCAGAGCTGCTATAAAAGCCCTTAACCTTGTTTAATCATTGGAGGTGTCTGTGTTTTTATAACATTGTTAATTCCATCTGCAGTACAGGAGAAAATCATTAAACAATTCTTATGATTACTGGCAAAAAAAAATATGTTTTGTTTTTCACTGAGCAAAATTAGGTGCAATCAAATCTGCTAAGATTAAATGTTCATAAAAGCTGCAGATCATCTGTACATAATGAGCAAAGGACATGGAGTCTACTTGGCAATGCTCGTATAATGCAGAGTCAGTTGCAGGCAGCCGGCTGCCAAATGAGTTATCTCAGCAAGTAAGCTAGTGTAGAAGGCGTGTAAATCAAATAGGCAGTTTAGAAAACGACTGTCTACGTCCTCTTTTCTGACACACTACGGGCAAAACAGCTCATAAGTGAACAAGGATACAGACCATAATATTAGCTTTAAAGTCACTAGTGACATCACCAGCATTTTGAGCAATATACAGCAATATTTTGCTTTTGTTGGTTACTTTATTTTTTAGAAAGTTTTTGGGAACAAAATAAAACACTGCTATCAAAATCGTCCAAATGTTTCAGAGTTGACTTGAAATTAAACTTTCTTTGTCTTTTCATCTGTTAAACATTTCAAAACACATACGTTTACTTACCCACATCCTGATAAGTCCTTGCGCCTCTGTGCAGAAGTGGGTCAATCCGTAACAGTAACACCTGCTGCAGCCCAGCGGGTTTCGTAGGGATAACCCAAACGTGTCGGGCTTACAGTGATCGCAGTAGTCTCCCTCCACATTTTCCTAAAATGTGACACAGAAAATTAAAGCAACCTTTGAGCCAGTTTTTCTATGCATACTTTAAATGAAAACATTTCTTTAGGAAATACTTTAAATGACTCTTTTCTGCTTGAGGCTATAAAGCACATTTAGCTTAACAGTACTCTTGGGATCTAGTGTCTCACTCCAGAACATGTCAGCACGGCTGAAAGTCTAAACCCTTCAGATAAAAGTAGCAGTCCAGAAGTAGCCCTAGTTATGTGTTTACAGCAATTTAATGATTAATATCTTCTTAGATGTCATTAAAAGTTTAACTGATTAGTTTATATGCTTGCCAGGAAATGCATTTGGTGTCTTGGCTTCACTGGGATGGCAATAAGAATCTGGACCGACTGTTTACATTGTGAGTAAATAAGCTGAGACTCGACTGGTCTAAAATGGAATTGTGGACAGGGCTGTGCATTAAGCCTTCTCTCTGCAAAGGAAAGTTACAGTGCTGTCAACACAAAATCATCCAATTAATGTTGAGTTCTGTCAAAAAGTCCTGCAGGTTAGTGAGAAAGGACAGAGGAGGGAAGAGTGGGAAGGTATAGTCAGGAAGTGAGGACAACGTTAGGATTTCTTCATTAAAAGTAAATCATTATGTCACTATTGGGGGCTGTTTATCATAATCAACAACAGTTCTTTTTTGGGAGGGGGGGGGGGGGTTGTATCACAAAAGAAAGAAAATCCCACTGCATGCTCACATACAGCAATACCTAAAAATCCACACATGCCCACATTTGAATTACTGTAATTAATGCTCATAACTGTATTATACTTTATTCAGTCCCTGTACAGTCCCAAAGGTAGGTGCACAGTGACAGTTTTATTTCCTTATATTGTTCTTCAGATTCCCTACAATTGTTAACCTAAATGCACTATATACTGTACTTCCTTACTTTTTAAAAAAAACTGTACCCAAAGTCATTAGTGTTGTTTTCCTTCACTGCTGACACACTGATCTCTTGTATGTCTTTAGTCTTCAGAAAGTGGAATACAGCTCAGGTATGATATTCCACATTGGTGTTGGAGATATTTTATTAGTAGTTAGTGGTAGCAGTTATTAGTAAGTTGTGGATAGCGCAGTGTACTTAGCTGTGGTCTGCTGGTGGAGCAACATCAAAGCTTGTGTGACCAACAGACCAAATAAACTGATCAGGGGAGCTCTGTGATTGGCTGCAAATTGGACACTTTTTTAAGCTGTGGTTGAGAGGAGGTCATGGAACAAACTGTTATCCATCATTGATAATCCTGCACTGCACCTTTTGCACTGCTTACCAGACAGGCAGCAGAGCAGCTTCTATAACAAGGACACGTATCGGAAATATTTCAGAGCAATAATTCTTTACAATGCTATTTTATTACTTTAAATGCTGTAGATCAGTGGACCAGTGGACAGAAAACATGCATGCATGCTCCCCTTCATGCAGGGGAATATTCTTGACTTGATGTGCAACATTCATCATGTATATTCTGAAGACTTTTCTACCAGATTGTTCATTAATGTTTATCTCCGCCTGCTTGCTTTATTAAAAAAATATTTTAGATTGCAGCAGCTTTTAATTTAGGGGTTAGTAAGTTATGACATGATTTCATTTAAGTTTTAATGTTAAAGCACAAAATTGAAGAGCAGTGATGTGCCTGATGATATAACGCAATGTAGGTAGATCACATGCTAGGCAGAGAGGTACACATTAACATACAGGACGTCTACATACAGGAGACGGGTTACTAATGACCGAGTGATTGCAAGTCAACCTCCTACGTTTTCAGAGAGAAGATGACACTCAGTAATGTAAAGCCTCATTACATGCCATGAATCAGGTGGTATATGTGTGTGTATGCGCGAAAAGTTTGCATTTTTGCGTGTGTCATAATGTGATCAGTAAGTGACAGCAGAGATGAAAAGTGATGCCAGTTGGACCAGTCTCTATCAAATATGTGAAAGTGTGTATCTTCAGCAAGGTAATGATGAAAAGAGTGCATATGCAGTAATGCGATCACCTTGTCAACGTGACGATAAGAGGTGTAAAATTTAAGCTTTATATGTGTGTAACTCCTGTAAAAATGTGTGTGTCAGGGTTTTTCAAGGACACAGAGAGAGATGATGGTGACGGATGAATCAAATTTCAGTTTTCTCAGGTAGAACATTTAACTACTCTGACTGTAACTCAATTTCTGTCTCTCTGACACACAGACAGGACAAATCTAGGAAACATCAGATGTCTACAGTTCACACATACAGATGCTAAATTAGAAGCAGTGCAGGGATAATGCAAGCATAAGTATTCATCAAGTAAAGAGTAATTACTACTGCACTGAGACAATTTCACCATGATCAAAAAGACCCCTCTACCGGGATTAAGAAAATGTTTCGAATTAAGAAAATCGAGTTAAAGCTTAGTAATTTTGCCACATTGTGTCTTGTGGAAAAAATATGATTTCAAAGATAGTCAGAAAAACAACATTGTATATTTTTCAGGTAAATATGAAATTGCTATTTCCAACAAGGGAAACAAGGGTTGGTGCTGGAAAGTGGTAGAATCTCACCTTCTGTGGCAACACTATTTCAGTGAGTATCAGTCAAAGTGAAGAGTACCGCTGACGGACACATGACAAATTGGGAAATATAAAGGAGGGTGTGGTGGGGCGTGATCTGAGTTATTCTTTGTGCTTCCTGGTTTTCCCCTGGCTCCCAGCAGTTTAGATTTATGTTTTACCTTTTGACCTTTCTTTGTTTGGGACTTATATAAGCAATATAAATTAACTTCCCATTTATTCATTCTGCCTCTGATGTCCTGCATTTGAGTTCTGGTCTGCAAACCATGACAGTATCTTTATATCTGTTAGTGTACAAGGTGTGATGACAACGTTTTGGGACCCAGGCCATAAAATTTATCTGATCTCTCTTCCAAGATTATCTTCACACACACACCACAACTATTTTTAGATCACTTCCTGGAGGTTCTGCTCTGTCCTTTCGCACTTTTGCAAGTTTTCTGGCTCATTTCACTGAACTTTTTGATCACACCTCATACGTTTGCATGTATGTCTCTTCCAGTGTATGGAGGTCATCGTGCGCAGATGTCAGTCATACTCGGCACGGTGACATTTGCTGGAATAATTACATACAAACAGACGCGCACACATATACTTTAAAACACAAACATGGGCAGGCTCCCCACAGAGACAGAAAGGACAGCGAAAGCATGCGAATTAGGTTTTAAATCTGCACTGACATTTAAAATCTAACCTATCATCTCTGCGAGGAGTCAAAATAATAAACAGCACATGCTTTTTCTCGCTTTCCCATAAAAACATTCACTGGACACTGCCAGTATCTTGCCAGAAAAATAAATAAATGAATAAATGAATGAATAAAATAAGCCTTTAACATAATGTGAAAAGGTGGCTGTTACCTTGCAGCTACATTTTCCTGTTCGATCTGCACAGCCACAGGCTCCTCTCTCCTGGTCGCAAGTCTGGCGGTCCGATCCTGCGATGTTGCACTTGCACTGGACGCACTGTGGGGGAAAAAAACAGCAAGTTTTTGCTATCAACAACATGACAGGCCTTAGAGGAGGGAGCAGAGTGTGTCCTAGCTTTATGCTTCACTAAACAACTTCAAAATGAAAATGTTGCCATTATCTTCTCACTCCAATGTCAACTGAGAATTTCAGACAAACACCAGAACCAGAATTTTTCTGGTTTGAAAAGTTCCCAGGTTTGAAAAGTGTAAAAAAAATAACTGTTTTCTGAACTTTTTAAAGAGTGTCTTCCTTGATTGATTCAGTAACCGTGCTAAAAACAAAACAACTCCTCTATCATAAGCTACACAACAAAGCCAAATGACAAATATAAGATTATGTATAAACTTTCAAAGTCTTATCAAAGAAAGACTGAAACAAAACAAAAAATTGGCAACAATGTCCATTTAAGCTTTGATTAAAATGTCACTCTATATTTAAGCTATAGGATGTAATATCAGCACGTCTTGAAAAGTTTGGCTCTGCCATAAAAATTATCTGGCTTTGATGAAACTGTTGGACTTTTATAAATAGGAAAGGAAACAAATGCTTTTATTCAGGTTTTCAGTGCTCATAAAATTAATGACAACAGCATCGTCATGTCTATGAAAATCTATTTTGCTTGGCCAACTATAGCTACAAACATTATCAAGTCCTAATGACTGAATCCCCGTAGGGATTCTCTCCAGTGTCTCGTCTTTCATGTCAGCAGAGATAAAAGCGACATTTATGACAATATGAGAAATATTAGCAGCTTTAATCTGGACCATTTACCTGAGGAAAGTCTCTGTATCCAATCTGGCATTCATTGCATTTATCTCCTCTGAAGGAGTCGTGACAGTTGCAGCAGCCTGTGTTTACGTTGCACTGCTGGGTCACTGAACCGATCACATTGCAGCCACACTCCTACATATAAACACACACAAAAAAAACCCAAATTTTATTCAGACATGAAAACATCAAAGAAAAACTTTGTATGTTGTAAGTAACTCAAACTTGTATCTTAGTGCAACGATGCAGTCACAGTTTTGTGTCCACAAAGTGAGCATGACAACTTTACATGTATGCATGAGTGGAGAGAAGAACCTCCACTTGTCAGTGGACATCAATCAGTGGACATTATTGCATAATGCCATGTTCCCCTAATAGATGTTGCAATTAAAGATGAAAACACCACAAATAGTAGATATTTGTTTTGCATGCTCAGAAGCAAAGACTGCAGATGGACAAATATCATCAAGTAAACTATGTCTCTGCTGAAATGAGAGGAACTACGACAGAATCACAGTAAGACTTTCAACTCCGAATTGAAATTTCTTAAATAGGAAATCCTGATCTACTGACCCAAATTAACACTGTTAGAGTTAATAACCCAATATTCAGTAATATTTTATGAGCGGATGCGTGACTATTTTTTTGTTTTGAGCATCTCCACATGACCTTGAAATTAACTTTTTTTTGCTCACTCTGTGTTTTCCTTCCTGTTGTGCTTTTACTGAGACCTCATTGACATCTAGGTTGTAGCTTTGTGATTTTCTTTGTTTTTTTTATCATGTAGATTTTTCTGATTCCTCTTCTCTTAGTTGTCCCGGCGTACTCCTGTGGATTAGGTTGAAGCGTCTAATTACTAGTAGCCTGTTCCTGTTTCTAATAGTTTACTGTTATCGCTGCCTCACGGCTCATTGGTCAAATAGTTTCAGAGCAAAATAACACCTTCTAAAGCACAAAAACAAGATAAAGAAAAAAGCTGAGTAAACCAACACAGTAATAGAAAACAAAATGCCAAAGAAAGGGAGCATGTAGAAATCAGTTGAGTGAGGAATAAAGAACTGAAAGCAGGTTATCACAAAAGAAAAGTGTGGAAACAAGGCAAGGGTAGTCCAAAAATTACCTACATACACTATACATAACATAATAACATCATATACACAAACAATCACTTAACTTACATCTATTGTAAAATATTAATTAAACACCTACATCAGTGAGTACAGTGAATTTCTAATTTTATCAGAAATACATTTGAAAATATATCACAAATAATGATTACTTTTTATTAAATGCACAGGCATACCTGTTAGTTTCAGGTTTAGAAGTGAAAGTTAAAAAAATAAGTAAATAAATAAATGAACAAAAATGTGTTGTCTGAAAAATATTTTCTATAATTACAGAAGGCCCCAAGGTTGTGTAGTGATAAAGCATTCTTCAGTATCCTTCATATTTCTGTTCCATGTTCAATAACCCATTCATTATGGCATGTGGTGTCCGTATGTACACTCATAAGTGAGTGTCCTTTGATGTGGACGCTCACTGTTCAGCCTACCTTGCATCCAGTTACGATGTCATGCCCCCAGTGGTTGGGAGCACAGCGATCGCACCTCTCACCGATTGTGTTTGGAGGACAGATGCACTGCCCAGTGTTAGCATCACAGTTGTTCCCCACATGACTGCACTGACATGCTGTAAAAGAGGCAGAAAGGTAGTTAAAGAGAATTTAAAGCAAAGAGAGGTGAGCGAGCATAGCAGTTGAAAAAAAAAAATCAGCTGTCTCAAATGCGAGTGTGTTTGTTATCAACAAATTTTGAATTTTAAAGGCCAGTTTAATAATGGCTGGCATGAAGAAAAGAGCTTTGGGGTTGTTTTTAGAGGGAAGAATTTGTCCTTTGTGGTAGTAACTGCTGCAGAGGATACACACAGAGACTCATAAGAGACAATTACTGTTGTGGTAGGTAAACATAGCTCTCTAATGTTAACTCACCTGGCTATTTGGGCAACTGACATGAGTGTAACTGTGTCATTTATGCAAATTCAAGAGAAATACAACATTAAATGCACATAAGGAAAACATTTTCCTAAATAAATAGAACATACTGAAATTTTACAGCACATACCTTCACTTTCTATTCTTTTTAGGGGTTACACTCTGACTTAATTGGCACACAATAATTCTGTCTCCACTTCCAGCTCAAATCACTGATGTACAAACCTTGACCTTTAATTTGAGGTGCGAATAGAAACGCGTGCTTGTTCTTACATCCCATTGGGTTCGGACCTTGAATCACCGCTACAGGATGAAGACTGGCATTCGGTGTGGAAAATTAATTAACTGGAACCCTCACAATTTTACACAGCACCAGTCACAGAGTGCAATAAGGGAAACAGAAGTTAATATAATAAATGTAAATATATATTAGACAAATTGATAAACTAATTGAAGAATGGCTCATTGAACATTCATATAGAGTTATGCAATTTGCATAAATACACACACACATACAGCTAAGGTTTGGTATGTCGTGTGTCCTCATGTCCTTTTCTTGTTGTTTTTTAAATCAAGCATTTATTGATGAACTGCACATTAAAATAGATATTCCAGTAAATTTGACTAATATTTGATTGGATAAACCAATGTAAGCTGGGAGAGGCTTCGGCTACCAGTTAAGCAGAGTGGATGGATGGATCTATTAAACATTGTCTCCTATAAATATCCTAGACACATAATTTTTATTTGCTGTTTTCCTTATTGACCAAACAGCATGAATAACAACTCTTTTCTTATTGTGTGTGTGTGTGTTCACTCTTTAAAGACCTTCAGCAGCTAGTTTCTCCTGGCAATGTTTTACTCATTGCTTTGCGTCTCCCTTTCCTTCTTTCTTCTGTCTTTCATTTGTTCCTTTCATTGTGTATTTACAGGTATAGATTTTTTTTGGTTCCATCTCAGGCCTTTTGCCTGAGGGAACTGCTTAGCTGTATATAATACATGTCACGACATAAAAAAGTACATGAGAACAATTGCAGCATATTATAAAATGCTGTCTGGCTTTGAAAGTTCAGGTGTGGCTGAACACTGTATAATCACATTCATCTGAACCTGGAATAAAAATGCCCATAGTGACAGTATATTGCGTTTTAGTAAAGTAAATTGCAGCGTAGCAGAAAGCAGCAGCTCCAATTTATTACTTTTCGTTACAATTTACATATTTTTTCAGGCTGTTTTAACTCTGCCTCTTCTTGTGCACAACAGAAACAATACTTGAGGGCAGAGAAGGGATAGAAATGTGATTTCTTTATCTTAGTTTGTTCAAAATTCAAATTAAAAAGAAAATAAGAACGGAACGGTAATTTAAAGAGGATTTTTTGAGGGGGAGGATTGCTGACATTACTTTTGCTACAAATTCCGAACTTGCATTTGTTGACTGAAATGAGAAAAAGCCCTCTGTGAAAAGTAGACAAAAAATTCTGTACTTACGCGTGCACCCTCCCTCCTGAAAGTTGAAATATCCTCGTGAGCACCGGTCACATTTGGGTCCGGTGACGCCAGGCTGACACCGACACTGACCGTTTTCATCACAGTCGAATGACTTGGAACCATATGAATTGCAGTGACATGGAATGCAGGCTCCACCTGTGGTAAGGCCATGAGTCCCAGCCTGGAGAAACACACAGACCATTGGCATTGAGTTAGTGAGCTGAAATGACAAAGTATAAACTGATCCGGGATAAACAAATGTCAGACACGCTCAAATTCGGATAAAGCGGTTAGAAAAACAGACAAGACTTTTTAGAAGACTGGAAAAATATAAAGACGGGAAAAACTGAGGAAATAATTGTAGAGGCAATATTACTTTTCCTTTTTGTTGGTCATCTTTATAAATATATAACGTTGGATATAAGTATTAAAGACCATATAATAGATATCTCTTTGGCAGATGGTCACCCCTCCCTGGTTCTTCCTGTTAAAAGGGAGTTTTTCCTTCCCACTGTCGCCAAAGTGCTTGCTCATAGGGGGTTTGTTGGGTTTTTCTCTGTATGTATTATTGTAGGGTCCAGCTTAGAATATAAAACACCTTGAGGTGACTGTTGTTTTGATTTGGCGCTGTATAAATAAAATAAAATTGAATTGAATCTCTTTAGAAAAACGTTCTGTTTGCTCAAGCCAGGTGAGGGGCAACCAGTAAGAAGAAAGCAAACATTTATGAACGGATCATTAAAATATTTTTTAGACATATGATACAAGCAGCTAAATAAAGGTCCAAAATGAAATACATAACTATATATATTATGTATTTTTTACTATGAACTATTCAAAGCAAAGCAGAGTAAAATTTGTCTGTAAATTAGCAAAATCAGTCACCTTTACTTTCTATCAGTCTTCAGCTTAGAGGCCGCCTAAAAACCGCTATAGATCTCTGAAAGCTATCTGACATTTCCATGCCAACTAAACTGTCATATTATATAAAGCCTGACTCAATATTTTTTAATCAAAGGTATTTTTCGGGGAAAAAAGACAACAAAAAAGAAAAAAAGCTCAACTAAAAGAAAAAAATAGCTTCATTAGTGTGTCTACTCTAGAAAAACAACAAGAACAAAACAAAAAAACATCATGAACATCATAATTTGCAAAAACTATTGACATTTACGACGCCAATTTTCAGCCCCAACAAACATCTCGAGTTACCCAGAGGGATGACATTTTACTGATTACATTCAGAATTAAAAGAAACACACACACAGAGGAACAGCCATGCTCATAAAACCCTTATATATAAACTTGTCTTCCGTTGCCGTGCACTGCTTTAAAACCAAAACCACAATATGTTTAACCAAGAGAGTTTATCTCGAAAGCACATCCATGCTACTAAAAACACACCACTGCCATCCACATGCAGCGCGTGTTACCCGTGCCTTAGGCCTATATGCGCCCCTGGGACAACCACCCGTGCGGGATATTCCCCCCCATCTCTGCTGCGCAGAGTCCACTGAGATGCGCTCCACGGGCCGCCGTGTCTCCCGCCTTTCGTAACCTAGGCGACGGAGATCACAGCGTCGGCCCACGAAGCCAGGGCGACAGATGCAGCGGCCTTCGACGTCACAGCGCTGAGAAATAGATCCGTAGGGGCTGCAGCGACAGGGCATGCACTCCTGATGCTCAGCATCCCACCAGCTGTTAGGCTGGACCAATCAGAATACAGATAGTGGAGGATAGATAGACAAGGAGGAGTAAGAAAGCAGGGCAACAAAAACAGTGGAGTTAAAAAGAAAATTAAAAATTAAAAATTACACTGTCGTTGTGTTGTGTGGCTAACTGAAATACAGGGTAACACAAGGTTAAATATTGCAAATACTGTCAATGCAACTGCAAACCAATTCTTGTGAAAAAGCTTTGCATGTGGGTCTTAGGTTGTGTTAGAAGTAAAAACTGTGTAGGTGCTGAGAAATTGCAGAAACAGGTTAACAATGACATATAAGCACCTAAAGGTCACGACTGCCTTATAATACCTCATTTACTGTGCAGCAGCAGACACATTAATCAGCTTTGACCTGTCGGTACTCTGTATACCAGTGGGTAAAAACACATTATATGTGATGAAACAAGCAAGATAAATTCAAATAAAAACACAGATGTGAAATACTCAAGACTAATACTGCAGAAAGAAAAAACAGAAGATTAAAAAGAAAGAGAGATAGAGCTGGAAATAATTAAAGTCTACAAGTCCATCAACACAAACCAGGGATGTCAGTATAGAAAACTTTACACTTACCCTGCACTTGTCACACTTCTGTCCAAGCACATTTTCTTTACAGTGGCACTCTCCAGTCTCCTGGTTGCAGACCTCAGAAACAGACCCATTAGTATGGCACTGACACGCTGCAGGAAAGGAAAAGACAGGAGAGACTGAGAACAAGCATATTTAACAATAACACATGTTCTGAGTGCGTTTATCTAACACTATGGTGGGTCGGATAAGAGGTCCTGCTTAAGGTCTTCTTTTCAGGATTAACTGCTGATATCCACTTGGTCACTGCACTTCTGAGAAAATATTCTGTTGCTCAAATATTTTTTGTAGTCTAGTGGGTTGAATGAATTTTGCCACTGTTGTCTGCATTTTTCAAAATTCTCAGTTAAAAAAAAAAAAAATTTCAAGCACCTATTTGAGCACCTCTCAATTGCAAAGAAAAAAAGGATTGCACGTAGAATTGTACACATTCTATTTTTCTCTTATATACTGCATTTCTGTGTATTTTTGTCTCAATCTCTGTGTCTACATCCCATTTTCCTTCGAAAATATAAAGACATAAGGGACTGATCAAGACTTTTGCACAGTACTGCATAAGAAATTCAAGATATAGCACATTTTGTTCCCACAAAATGACTTTTAGAACCTTACTCCTAATACTTTGCATGAATGTAATTTTTTATTTATGTCCCGATATCCCTACTGAGATAATAATACATAAATAAATAAAATGTGCTTAAATCATTACTCAAATAAATAAAGTAAATAAAGACACACCTAACCCATTCAACCACTTATCCATACAACTAAAAGCTTGAACATCACAGCTTGTATCAGGTAGATGGGCTGTCAGAAGGAAATGCGTATCTGCTTAAAAACACACATAACCACATCCATCTGTAAACACACCCTGCAATTAACAACACACATCACATTCGACAAACACCAGTGGGTATTTGTAGTTTGTGTTGCCTTCTGTCATGCTGTCCTCTTAGATATAAAAGAGGAAGAAGGACAGACATGACTGTGGGATGGGAAATTGAGGTGAGAGGCAGGGGTTCACAACAGATGCCCCCACAAAGAGATAGGGAGATGGAGAAATACACACAGATATGCAGAAACATTCATATGATACATAACGGACATTGCAGAAAGCCATGCACATGCACACCTGCTCAGCCACATACATGCAGATGTAAATACACACATACGGCTGATTAAACATGCGAGAAAACATGCACACATACACCTGCCTCTGTTTCACACTCTCTCGTACTCTACACTGTCTCACCTCCCCAGCTTCACCCTTGGGGAACCATCTGGACTGTTCTGTCTGTTGCTACTATGTGGACCTTGTTGTGGGATAAATCACTACTTAATTTTTTTTTTCTATTTTTAGTGTTGGAAAAGTAAATGTTTCTTAGACTAAATTTGTTTTGTTACTCAGCAATCATCAATCTGTCAGATTAACCAACTGGAGGAGTAGTTACTGTGCATCTGGCATCCAAAGTGCCAGTGTAAAAGTGCATTCTTCCCCAAAGAAATGCCAGTGTTTGGTACTATGAAAAAAATCTGGAATATCCCCTGTAATTTTTACCATGGACACCATGCCCTATAACTTGCAATAGTAAACGTTGTTAGCCATCTCCAACAATTCCTTTACTCTGTCCTTGTTTTTGAACTAAGCATCACACGTTGTCCTTTTACATCATCTTTTAATGAATTACCACAGCCTCCAATGTGCATACTGGGTATGTGTCCAGGGACTCAGTTGGGGTGCCTATTCATGAGGAAAATGAGACCAAAAAAAAAAAAAAAAGACCAAAGAAGACCAGAATTGTATTATCGTAAATATTAGATCTTGAAACCTTGTATCTGTATATCTTTTTTTCAAAACAATTACATAATTGGGAGAATACAGTAGTTTACCTGCCCTTTCTTCTCTATACTATTGAGGCTAGTTGTCACGGACCCAGCTCCGGGGACTCAGGGTCCGTGGGCAGTGTGGACTACTGTTATAAAATATTGCTGTGATTTTGTGATGTGTGTTGTCAGCACTGCTGCTGTTCTTGTGATTCCCCGTCCTGGTATGTATAGGCAAGTGGGTGTGTCTGTGAGTGTGGCTGAGTACTGGGTTTCAGGTAGGCCTGGTGGGCGTGTCCTATCTAGAGGATGGCCACACCTGAAGCAGATGATGACTCACACACCTGCAGCTAATGAAGCTAGTTGGGGAGCTTCTGAAGACGGTGGCTGAGCGGTCCTTGGCGTGGGATCGTTGCCTGAGACTCCACGTTAGTGTTATTAGTACCAAGTCCAGTGAGTGCGTGCCCGCGGTAGTCGAGTGTCCTGACAAGTTGCTTCTTTGTTATTTTTCTCCAGGAAGGAGCAGGGAAGACAAGAGCAGCGAGCACGGGTGCGGGGACACACAGGAGCGGAAGAAAAATGAATGAAACAGCCATGACAAGAAAAAGGAGGAAATGAGGATCCCTAACTTTAATAAAGTTGCCATTTTTATTTTAAAAATTCAGGATGAAAACATTGCCCTTAACTTTAAAGTTCTTGAAATGCTTGGTGTGATAACATGAATGCTAAAGTTAGCGAGCTGCTAAGCTAAAGGTTAGCTGCTAAGCTAAAGGTTAGCTGCTAAGCTAAAGGTTAGCTGCTAAGCTAAAGGTTAGCTGCT